GGAGACAAAACACAGGAACCATTGTTAGAGTTTCCTCTCAGCAAGCATGCCTGCTCTGCTGAGCCAGCACTTAGTTCTTAAATGTCTCTAGTATTCCCCTGAAAGCTCCTGAAGCAAGAGCTTCCTCTCAGAAAATGCTACACTTTGTCTGGAGCCTGAACAATCCCCTCTTCCTTGTGGTGACAGGAGCAGAGCACTGTTGGTTGAAAGCGAGTCTGGTATGCACGCAGTTTGGGACAGAGTTTGATCCCTCCCACGGCAGACTTTTTAAGAATGTTGCCCAAGGGCACAGTGGATAAGACTCATTAAAGGAAGCTGCTGTAAAGAACCAGGGTGAAACTGCCCTGCCCATTCCTCGGGCACAAAACTCATTGGGCTGGAGAGACCAAAGGTTACGGAAAGATGACTTGGCATGACTCAGGTGGAAGGAGGCTGGCAGAAAGGAAAACTCTTAGCTTGTTTTTCCAGGTCAGCATTCATCTAGGCTGGAAACAAGGAAGGATAGGATGTGTTGAGGTGACACTCCTCTGACTCAGTCTTTTATCACACCCTCACCAGTCAGTTTCTTGAGTCTCCCTTTGAGCAATTAAAGTTTTGCTATGATATCATATTTAAATGTTGTGTTTCTACTTACCCAATGCTTTCCTTCTCTGTTGTTTTCTTCCTTGAAAGACACCCAGTAACAATACAAATGAAAACAAACAAGCAATCCAGTCTACTCCTCTTTATATCCTAGGCATGCCTCCATGGGAGGCTTTTGAACAGAGTAGATACTTGGGAAAGGTGGATGGAGGGGAATAGACAAAGTTTCCCAAAGCAGAAGGAACCTGAAAAATTATTGTCATCATTTGCTAAGGTTATGATACAGCAATATAAGAAGAGAATTGACATTAGATTTTAGTGGTTTAATTCCTAATCTCAATGTTTACAATTTTATAGATCTGGAAGATGCCACAGAAATTATGGGGCACAGAGTTTTCAAACTCTATTCACATTTTGTTACAAATAACTCGTGTTTTTAGAGTGCCAACTAGCTAAAATGTCCCCGAGTGTAAATGGGAGAAAAGAAACCATGCAGTTCACCTCAGGCTGCAGCCCCAACCTTTAGCTTTCTGTTTCTCCCTCAGAGGCCCTCGGAGCTTTGCTCTAAGACAATTTACACATCACTAGTGCTTCCTGGTGTTCTCCTTTAATTAATGAGAATGAGAATGCAGAGGCCCACTGAGCTGAAGGGAGGGCCTACAGTTCTGAACTCAGGAAGTTAAAACCTGGGTAAGTCACTCTTCATGCCTTGGCAATTTAAAACGTCAGAGCCAACACAGAGTTCTGCATTTAAACGGGGGGTGGGGGGGGAAAAGGGGGGGAAACTGTGGTTTGTGCTGTTCCTCAAGGAGAAAACATACAGACAGCATCTTAAACGGCAGTTCCAGGACATGGTAGATCAGGGCTCCCCATGCTGAAATCAAACTCAGAGTTCTCAGGTCAGACCTCTCACAGAGTTACATGAAGGTGGAGCACAGACCTCTGAACTGGGGTTAAAGAAACACCCTGCTCACTTTTTTTTAAAATGTCTTTGTGAGTTTTAGGTTGTATATTGCAAAGGCCATGGAATACAGATGAGCCCGAAAATGGCCAGATTTCATTTGTAGAACCTGGAGACTGTATTTGTGGTGATCTGGTTTTCATTATGCACACATCTGAAATTCACTTTCCAGGTTCTAAGGATTTATAGCTTGTCCCCTTCTTGAAGGGGGCAGCAGTTACAGCCTTTCCCACTATTCAGTCCACTGAACACAGGAGACACAGATTCTTTATATTAAAATGCTGCTGCGCAGGGAAAGCAAACACCATTTTACAATCGGCAGCAGAGCTCAGTAGAAGCAGCCAGGGTCCGTTTATTAAAGAGCAGCAGTGAGTCATCTAAGACCACCAGGTAGACCAGCTGATACTCCAGATGTTCTGATGAATTTAAATAAATCACTTAGGATGGTGAAGTTCCAGCTTTCTCTTAGCATGGCCTGCTCTCCAACATTGTTCCAGATTAAAGGACATAGCCCATCAGTCAGATCTCACCGGAGTGGAACAAGCTTCATACCCACCTCAATGTTTGAATGGGAACATAGATTTTTCTGGTTGTCAGCTGTGATAATGAAGTGTTGTTCTTGATCCCAGAACAGCAATTTTCCTTTATATGAAGATCATTGTTCTCTTTGGAGTTCAATGAGGGCCAAGTCAGTGTGCAGCTCACATTTGGACATGGAATACCATAGGAGCATAGTCCCATGGGCATGTGACAACATATCCTCACTTAAAACTGGCATCTCTGGAGACATAGACCTATTTGGGAAATCTTTAGCATATTAATGAAGAAGTGCAGGTAGACCCTACAGAGTACAGCTAATCCCTAAGAAATAATTGTTAATGAGTAAGAACTAAGCACTTCCAGGAAGCAGTCCTTAGTGGCTGGACATAGATGTAAGTAAGCAAAGTAAATAAAAAGTCAAACATTTTATGAGTGAGGTAATACAAAGTAAATTAACTCCAAATAAATTCAGGAACTATGTGAACAAGAGAGAAGGTGGTATAACCAGTGAATGACTTTACTAAAGGGGAAGCCATGGTATTGGGAAGGAAGCCTGAGAAGGCTTAATTCCTCCTCTCTGGGTGCCTGAGTCTGACTCACAAGTGAAACCACAGTGGATTAAGCCTCTTGTGAACGGGCCTGGTATCATCAGACTCAGAAGGTCAGATCAAGCCATTCTGTGTTGCTCCAGTTTTGTGTGTGTGTGTGTGTGTGTGTGTGTGTGTGTGTGTGTGTGTGTGTGTGTTTTGTAATCTTGTCACTGTTATAATGCACTGAACTATAATAAGAGATGAGTTTCCCTCATTCTTCCTTGCCTATAAAGGATATACAATTAAGAAGCTTTAGCTCAGCAGTTATAATTAATTTATTTATCCTATATTTATTCAACAAACATTTTTCCTATACTTATTTAACAAATGTCTCTTCTTAGTACAACCAGGTCCTTGGTGATCGGGTAGAAATGTAAGCAGTCAAATTAAGTAAATAAAAGGCATAGATTTCATGAGTTCTATTAAGACAAAGTAGATGCTTTGAAATGGCTTCCATCAGGGCTGTCCTGGAGAGTCTCACATCTGTTGCTGTGATAAAAATATCCTGACAGAAAGCAACTTAAGGGAGAAAGGCTTTAGTTTAGCTCACAATTCTAGGTTACAGTACATCATTGTGGAAGTCATGGCAGCAGTAACTTGAAACAGTCACAGCACATCCACAGTCAAGAGTGGAGAGAAATGAGTAGTTTCCAGTCAGCCTCCTCTTGACACTTACATGTCGGGAACCCAAGCCCAGGAGATGGTAGCACTCACAATGGGAAGGTTGCCCCACCTCAATCAGTTGAAACATTCAGGGCAATTCCCCACAGACCTGCCCACAGGCCAACATGTTCTAGACAATCCTTCATCGAGACTCTCATCCCAGGTGGTTCTAGATTGTGTGAAGCTGATAATTCAAACCAAGCATCATGGGACGACATGTGTTTTCTATGAAGTGCCATATTAACCATATGTGGGCTAGTCCGTGTTTTTGAAATCATTCTTTCTAATTCTGATATCTTAAGAATAGCCATAGCTGGTTGTGCATGCCTGTAACCCAGCACTGGAAAGGGAAGGTAGGTCCTAGTCCTTGAGTCCTAGTCTCACCTGAGCTACAAATAGTCTTACCATGAAACAATTTAAGTCACTATATGTTAGTAGATTTATGATTGACTAAAATTTACTAATTGACAGTAAACTTTGACTTTCTAATATTTCCACACCATCATTAAATATTATTCATTTATTTGAACTTATAAAATATTTAAAAGCATTCTTCACTTGTGGACTATACAGAGGTAGTTGGAAGTCAGATCTGGACTACAATATGCCCCTTCCATCAACTCCTGGCTATGTGGCTCAGGGAGAAGTCTTTGCAGTTAATCTGAAGATAGGTTGGTAACATCTCTTCATGGTCCAGAACACCTGGATTAGGGGTATAACTCAGTGGTAAAGCACATGCTTTGCACTGTCAAGGTTCTGGGTTGAATCTGTATCACCAAGAAAGAAAATGACAGCTTCATGGATAAAGAGAACCCAATTATATGAAATACCGAGGAAAAAATGAGAAAAAGAGAGAGAGAGAGAGAGAGAGAGAGAGAGAGAGAGAGAGAGAGAGAGAGAGAGAGAGAGTGAAGAGGGCCTAAAGCCATCCCTAAGGACCCCACAGTGCATACAGTTGTATATAAAGGTTTGCCATGAAATAGAGTAAACCAGCAAAATACATGGATTATTGTAAGTGTAGGTATTGATCTCCCGCAATTAGGTGAAAGGTGTGGTAGGAAAGAAGAACACACAAGGGGCATAAATAATTTTTAACAAAATGTCACATTTTCTCACAGTCATTGTCTCTGTAGAATAAGTTGATTTCTTCCCCCCTTCTGTATGGTGACTTGGCAGAATAAAGAGAATCGTGTAGTCTTTGTGTTGATTAAAATGAATTATCCTGTGGAAATGGTAGATTTTTTTTTCATTGAATGATTTAACCATATGTCAGTGTCACTGAGAATGTTACCATATGTTTGCCAACCAAATGTCATAATTCATTGGGGTGGGATTTGTGCAGTGAAATCATGAGTAAAGATGAATAAAACATTTTTATTCATATATACATTTAGAATCTATTCTTTAGCTCTTTCCTTACATTTGAAATGGGGTTGTTTTTGCTGCCACAGGCTTGTAAAGTGGCCATCTGGGCAGTGTGATTGGAGAACATCCATAAAAATGATTGATGAAAAGAAATATCTGAGTACTGCTTTGTAGACTGGCTTTTGTGGACTCATACTTCATCTGTGATTTCAAAGCTTGAGAAAAAAATAGGGAAGCGTTTTTTACCTATTGAGTAACCTCATGTGGCAGAGAGATGATTATTTCTGTCTGTATTTCAGAGCTGTGACAGACCTCCACATCTTACCCAGATGCCGTGAAGAGGAACATTTTCTTCATGTTAAAAAGATACCCAGGAAACACACCCATCTGTCTGCTGCAAGAACATGTACAAGCTCCTTGTTTACCAGAAGAATCTGAAGTGTTGCTGAGAACTAAAATACGCCAAGAAAAGAAATAAAAGAAAATTATGACACATTGTGTTTTTGAGGAGGTGTTTTTGGTGAAAGCAGAGATTTGGGGTGTTTGACACCCAAAAGGCATCTTCCAGTATATTCTATCAAAATGTTAAAACAGCCTGCAGGAAGATGGACATACAGTTCCTCTTGTGTGGAAAAGACAATGTTGACTATCACAAAGCATTTGATGTCTACTTCACATTTTCCTTCATTAGATGACATATCCAGTGGTGTAGGAACTCATCACTGGGCCATTACACCAATGCATATTTAAATTTTGAGTGTGGGGTTTTATGATGGGTTGTTGTCATTTTTATATAGCTTCACTTACTGGTGAAACAACTGACTTAAGTATTTGCTCCCAATTACACATTTATTAAAAATAATAACTTAAAAGAACTCTGTTGTAATCAGAGAAGTTAAAAAGTTGCAATAAAAGAAGAGAGTGCTATAGGAGTGCTATAAGAAGGAAGAGAATGATTAATTTTCCTGAAGAAATCTGGGTTGTCTCAGTGTGAGCTGTCAGTGTCACTGGGCCTGCAGCAGCTGAAGATGCAGTAGAAAGTATTTTAATACAAGGGAAAGTAATGTTCAGAACAGAATGATCGTTCCGATTCACTTCTCTAGTTCATTTTTTTGAATTATAAAACAAAAAAACTTGCAAAAAATACATTTATCATATTCAACTTCAGAACTTTTCTGAAGCAAATATGTATATGATAACAAGACCAAGCATGAGAAACACCCCCAAAGTCACCAGTCAGGGTCAGCATCATGGCTGCACAGAACCTGGTGCTGACATGGGTCCCCTGCTCAGTCTATACTATATCTTTGCATTCATAATGACTTTTTAAGAGTTATGTTATGCACTGGGATGTTTTGCCTACATACATGTCTGTGCACCATGTGCCTGCAGTGCCCAAAGAGGCCAGTTGAGGGTGTTGGATCTCCTAGACCTGGAGTTACAGACAGCTGTGAACCACTATGTGGGTGCTGGGAATCCAATGCCAATCTTCTGGAAGAGTAGCCAGTGCTCTTCACTACTGAGCCATCTCCCCATTTGATAACACTCATGATCATTCTTTTAAACAAAGAGCCCAGTGTTTTCATTTAGCATGACCCCATAGTTTATAAAGTTGGGGAGATAACTCGGTGGCTAAAGTGCTTGCTCTCTAAATGTGAAGAGTCAAGACTAGATGCCCAGGATTCCCATAAGTATGGGCAGGCATTTACCTGTCATGCAGAGATGGGATCCCTGGGGTAACCTGGATAGCTAGAATAGTTGAATCGGCAAGATTTGGTTTCAGTGAGAGACCTTGCCTCAATAAATAAAGTGGAGAGAAGTCAAGGAGATCACTGTTGTATGACAAAACTTTTCTTAGGTCGACACATCACACACATCTGTTCACCCCAGATAAGGAACCTATGACAGATTAAAGTATGGATCCCATCAAAATCCAAATTGGTCAAACTGTAAGTTTTATTGGGGTTACTTACAGGAGCAAAAATGCCTCAGACACCCTCAGCATTAAAGCCCACCCCAGCATGGGTGACAGCTCACAAAGCTGGGAACCTGGAGTACTCTGCACAGCCTACCAGCAGCTCAGTGGGTTGGAGAGTATCTTTTGCACCTGCGTCAGTTGGTCTGAACCTCTTTCTACACGTCTTGGCTGGTTTCTGTTTCTTCCCGGCAACTGTCCTGGTCTCAAGCGTCTTCTTGCTGCTTGCCTTGTCTGAGAGTCTTTATAGCTTAGCTTGTCTGAGGGACTCTCAGCCTCTATTGCTTACTCTGGCAGAGGGGACCTAGTTGATCTAGTCAGTTTCAAGGACTTTTAAAAACCATTTTGAGTTGTTTACCTTCTTATTACTTACTCTGGTCGGAGGGGAAGTAGTTAATCTGCTAAATTTCAGGGACTTCCTGAAGTTATTTTGAGTTACTATCCTGTTTAAGGAGCTTCCCTGCAGGATTGAATGTTTCAATCTCTGGGGGAAATTGTTACACAATAAGCATCATTGTCCATTTTGGGCCTCCACACACATACACACACAGGGGCACTTATATACGTATATACAGCTGTACACATAACCATGAAGATAAGGAACACAGTTCAATGAACCAAATGCTATTTGTGTATGCTGCTGTAGCCAAGAAAGAAAGGAGTGTTACATCTGGATAAAACATAACTGTGTATGTATAGATATATATTTACACAATCTTTTGGGCATGAAAGAAGTGAGATATAGAAGTAGTGTAGGACAAGAAATGTAATGTGTAAAAAGTGAAATAGCATCAATAATATGAGGCTACATAACAAAGTTGACAATAGTACTTGAAGGGACACACACTATAGGGTGCTACTTCCAGACCACCTCCCAGACCAAACTGTTTTCACAGAGATATAGTTTATTAAGCAGGGAGGAAAAGTAAAGTGGCTGATTTCTGAACCAAGCAGAAAATGGCAGCATATGACCTCACAGGTTTGATTTTTAAGAGGAAAAAAAAGGGGAAGTCTGGGTTAGAATGGGCTAGGTTGGGGTGGTGTGTTTTGATTGGGCATGTTAATTAGAGTAGTCAAAAGGAGGCTTTTGATTGCTGAACATCAATACTTTGATAGCTGGACCTTGCTGATCGGCCTTAGGAATGAATCTGGCATAAGAAGGTGTCCAAATAAGGGAATAGACCTTGGTGGCTAGTTTTAGGGATGCAATCTATGGTTTACAAGGGAGAGGGAAGGGGGAAAGAAAAGGCCTGCCAACAACGTGTGTGCCATGCTCAGGCCTGCTGGCTCCTTTCCTCTCTAGTGATGGTGCCTGTGATTAGAGATGTGTGGGGCAGGAGCAAAGGTCAAAGGCTACAGGCAAAAGGAAATCAGAGTAAATACTCTGAGTGCATGGCAGGCAGCCCTCACCAGCCACTCCCTATTTCAGAGACTTAGTATAGGAGAAACATTATGATAGGGAGCCGTAATAAGATCACAGAGGCTTTCCAGTGGACAACAGGACTGATCTATATCAGCCACAAGCAATATTATGTCTTTTTGGTAGCCCACTAAACCCATATCCAACAGTAGCATTCCACGTTCTGATTAAGATATTCATTATTAAGCACAATGACTATAAGTAACAAAACCATCCAGATGTCGTGTAGTAGCAAGGTGATGCCAAGGTCAGCTCTGGTGGATGACATGCATTCTGCGGTGGTACTAGAGAAAAGCAAAAGACACATAGGTTTAATTACAACAATGCTAATCCTAAGCAGGAGTCCTTCAAAGTTAAAAGATATAAAAAAGACCATGAAAAAACAGCTTTTGTCAAACGCTCATTTTCTATGTAACTATGTTGCAGAAACAATACTGGACAGTTTCATACTTTATCAGCTTCATGATATGTATATATGGCCACTTACAGTTAGAATGTTGATATTTAAGGAAGTTTTATTAGTTCCATACTTTTGTATAACAGGTTACTCAAAACCTTACCAACTTAAAATAAGAAACATTTATCTCACCTGGTGTCTTAGGGTTTCTATTGCTGTGAAGAGACACCTAGACCATGGCAACTCTTATAAAGGAAAACATTTAACTGGGGTGGCTCACTTACAGTTCAGAGGTTCAGTCCAGTATCAGCATGATGGGACATGGTGGCATGCAGGCAGACATGGTGCTGGAGAAGTAGCTGAGAGTCCTACACCTTGCAGGCAACAGGAAGTGGTCTGAGTATCTGAGCAAAGTTTGAACAAAAGTGACCTCACAGCCCTCCCCAACAGTGACATGCTTCCTCTGACAAGGCCACACCTCCTAATAGTGCCACTCCCTGGTTTCTTAGGTTGGGACCCTTGGAAAAGGTAAGCTGGGTAGTTCTAGCCAGGGTTTCTGTTGGCATTATCATTAGGGAAATTTTGGAGGATGGACTTCTAGCTTCACTGCTTCAGTTGACTGCTAGGTTGAGCAGGCTGGAACAAGGGCCTTTTTAAAATACTCTCTTCCATATAGTTGAGTGGCTGTCTGGAAGACATAGAGACTGACTTTCCCCAAGGTGAGAAATTCAAGAGACAGGAGGTTCAGTCTTTAATGATCTAACCTAGAAAGTGATCCACCATCACTTCTGTCTTGTTCTATTCATCATTCTCACCAACCTTGGTTATCTGTGGGTGAAGAATTCCAAATGTGGCTATAGAAACATCGGGTGCATGGGATCTATTCCTGAAGACTAGTTGTCATATACATCGAGTAAGCTTTCTCACATTTTTAAAGCTAGACATTTAAAATTTAAAAGAAAGTTAGTGGGGCTAAAAGTTCTGCGTTATCTCTATTTCATAGATTGTTAGACATTTGTAATCAAATAAATTTTTTTGAATGTTTTCTTTTCAGATTTTTGTGGAAATCCATACATTAAATCAGGATTGGGAGTGCAGCTCAGTGGTGGAGTATTTGTTGTACATGAATAAAGTGCTGAGTTAGAGCTTTACTGTCATAGACAAACAAACAAGCCTTTGCATGATGTATAACCAAACTAAAAACAAATCAAGATTCTTAAGGTGTAGTTCTTAATGAAAAAAGATGAGAGATTATACCCATCTCTCACATTAAGCTTATTGGGAAAACAGGAGGAAATTCAATTGAAAGAAAAATGTATCTCTGAGATAAGTTTGGGATTTGATGTTGACACGATAGGCTGGCTCATCAAATACCAGTCCCAATTTATTTTTCCTTAGTCATTCTCCCACCTCTGGGAAAGATGGAAGGGTAAAAGTTGAGATTCTCAGCTTCCCTTCTGGCTTGGAGAACAGTTACTGCAGGTCTAGTCAAAGAACGCGACTGAAGTCAAGTCGGTGGGATTTGGGGCTTACGACAAAACAGAGGCCCTTCCTTGAATTAGCTTGATATCCCAGGCCACCCTCTTTGCCACAGAAGCTGAACTGATTTCTGATTTCCCTGAGCTCTCAAACTGAATCAACAGCCCTCCAGTTACAGACTTCTTGTCACGTGCTAAATAAATACTTGTTCAGTTCTCTGTC